ATTCAAATTTCGGCTGAAAGCGTAAAGCATGTAGTTTCCAAAAGCTCCCTGAGGATTTCCGACATGCTCAGGTGGCAGAGATAAAAATGAAAGAACGAGATCATCCGAAATTCGGAATTTTTGAGCAAGAATTCTAAAAATTCAGAAACTGTGCGATAAAATCCAGAAAAGTCATTATCCTAATTTTTCTTACATTTGATTACTAACTGAGTCAGGTTTGTGCTGGTCGAGGTCTTTTTCAGAAGTTACGTATTTCTAAAAAAAATGCCAAAAAATCCATTTTTAAGAATTCTCAGAAAATTGATTTTTCGGCATTCTTTTTCAAAAAATCATAACTTTTACAAGAAGGCTCGATCAGCACAAACTTGACTCATATAGTAATCAAATATAAGAAATCTAGGATGATGGATGTTCTGGATTTTATCGCACTGTTTCTGAATTTCTAGAATTCTTGCTCAAAAATTCCGACTTTCGGATGATCTCGTTCTTTCATTTTTATCTCTGCCACTTGAGCATGTCGGAAACTTCCCAGGGAGCTTTTGGAAACTACATGCTTTACGCTTCCAGACAAAATTTGAATTGCGCAAAATCGTTGTGACCGAAAGAATTTATGATTTTTTGAAGATGGTGCGACAGAACTTTCGGTTCAACCTAATACATTTCATATCAGATACTCATATGTGCTATTGCTGTATTATTTCATCAGCTGGAAATCGAGAAAGCGAAAATTGTCACGTTTTTACCAAAGCGATGCTGTGCTGTTCTTGCACTAACAAGTTATATACTACAAGCTCCTAGAAGTATAACCGTAAATTTATAGCTCTCTATGAGATCTAGTTTCCGAGAAATTTCAAATTTAGCTTTCCTCACTCTGGTTTTTCGCACTTAACATTTCTCGGAAACTAGAGCTTGTAGAGAGCTAAAAATCTACGATTGTCCTTCTAAGGTCTTGTAATATACAACTGTTAGTATAAGAATAGCACAGCATCCCTTTGGTAAAAACATGGAAATTTTCATTTTTTTTCGATTTCTAGCTGATAAAATAATATAGCATTAGCACGTATATGATATGGAATGTATATGCGTGAGCGAGTGAGAGATCTGTAGGATTTTTTAAAACAAAGATATAAAAATTTTGCAGTTTTCTGGGCACCCGAAACTTTTTAGATTTTGGGTTTCAAACTTGAGGTGGATTGAAGCTGGTGCGAAAGAATAAAGCCATCTTATAAAGCTTGCTTACTCTACCGAATGCTATAGTGATGGCTATTTAGAAAAAAGTGTATGGCTCTTCACAGCGAAAACTGAATGAAAAGAAAAAAAAATGAAAAATGAAAAGACTTATGAGACAACCTAATGCTGAGACCTCCGAAAATGACGACTTCGACGAAACCTAAGATCAATGAATAATATCACCGTATTGACCTAACCTGGATCTGGCACAAAGAAAAACAAACACAGTTTGTTTCTATTTGTAAATGGTAGAAATAGGTGCTTCTCAAAGTGATTCCGATTTTCTCAAAAGAGTGCCACATCCCGCAAATCAAAAATACTTGGAAGACCTTGTCGCATTCAGCACAACTTTTCATCCTTTTTTAAACGTCTGTCCTTTCAAGCACTTCTCTTCCCTCCTAGGTCCTCCAACAATATCTGCCAATGTAGCCTTTAGTTTCAATTCAATCAAACACATTTCCTGCCATAATCGAGATTTAGGTGACTCCGGAAATCATCAGTATTTACGACTGTTAAGCATGAGCGCGAGGCAAATGACTCTTTAGCACTTACAGGTGAGGCAAAATTGAACTTTTAATAAGGTCAGGGTCATGGCAAAGATTAAGTGAAAAACTGTTGACTCTCAGTAATGTTCATGTTTGTCATTGTCCTGATTGTGGCCCCAGTTTGGAATGCGCCACACCCTCTCACTGCTGTGGTTATTCCAAAGTAAGTTTAGTTGCTCCATCATTTGTAGTCAAAATAGGATGTTCATTACAACGATCGCTACTTGACTAAAATAATTACCCTTTTGTAGGAAGACTGATATAACATCTACTTTCTTGTAAGAACGTTTCTTTTGCAAAAAAACTCATAGTCTATGCATAGAGATCATGATTGACATTATGGGACGAGAACAGGTTAGCAAAATGACCAAACACACTTTTTGCTTGACATTATTTATGAGCGAGCGATGTCTCAACGACAACATGATTGAAGAATCAAAGTGGAGAACAGTGCACCATATACAAACTTTGGTCTCAAGAACATTATGATGCGATGCAAGAAGTAATTGCATGATCAAAGCCGGCAAGCTTGAATGCATCGTCAAGCTAATCCACCTCTCAAAAGACATCATAAAGTTACTTAAAGGCAGCTCCTGGCAAAATCGCTCCCCGGTCTTCCAACTCTCCGGAGCCTTCTTGCCATGCTGAAGCCATATGTTAGCTTTACAGCGCGTGAAAATGGCAAAAATGGACTTTTTCCGAAGCTCCTCGGGTCCGCGTTCGCTACAAGTTACGTATGGAAGTGGGCTGGGTCCTAAAGACTTCCGGAGCGGATTTCGGGCTTTCCAAAAGCGTTTTTTTTGCTCCACACTTCACTGATAGACCATCGAAGGGTCTATCATTAAAACACTGTAAAATCGTGGTACCCACCATTTTGAGGGGACGCTGCCTTTAAGACACTTCTTTTTGTGAATGTTTTAGATGGATCTGGATCGAGCGTATGTGGAATTAATTACATAGTGTTAAGTTCTTGTTGTACCCTCACATAGGTAACTTACGTAAGGTAGGAGCACATTTTGAAAACACGATTTGAGAAAATTAAAGCCCAGAGCTCATAATCTAGAGGCAGTGGCGGTCCGAGGAGGAATGGTGACTTTCTTATACTTGAGAATAGTTAAAATATTTTTTAAACTCTGTTAAAATTCAAATAAGCTCTGTAAAGATTTCTCTTGGGGGCGTGGCTGACGACACGCCTTTTTTTCTAAATTTTAGGGGTCATGGGCCCGGAGAAATTTTAAGAAGCATCCCAAAAAATTTTTCGGAGTGCGTGGTCAGCGCCGCGCACCTTAGTTTGGAAAAAATCAGCCCCCCCCCCCCCTTCCCTAGAAGCCATTTTATTGTGAGTCTTTCAAACAGTGTACTGCGGTTTGACTTTTGCTGATGCGTTTTTCATAACAGCAGAAAGGTAAGGAGTCTAGCGCTTAGACTTATGTACTCAAGTGTACAGGGCTCCTAAATTGCAGAGTCGTTTGCACCAGCGGTCGCGCGACCGCGTCGCGCCCGGGCATCAATGGTGCCGCCTCGATCGATAGCGCCGGCGCCGGCAAAATGGATGGCGCGACGCGGTCGCGCGACCGCTGGTGCAAACGACTCTGCAATTTAGGAGCCCTGTATGCATTCTCTACGATAAAAGGAAAATTATGGCATCGACTTCTTATACATGTGGTTGACTTGCGCTATGAAGCCGAAACTCGAAAACATTGGAGAAAACACGAAACGGCGCCGATTACAAACCTACTATCAAAAGAGCAGAGCTAAGGATGGAGAAGAGATATAGATAGAGTGATTGACAAATGGTGAAAACAAAGTGATACTAAACATCATGAGACGTTACGACTTCTTCAGGTATTTACATTCATAGATACAGCTCGATGCAATCCGCAGCGAACGATGAGTCGTTGTCGAAGAAGAGAGAAGATCAAGCCAAAAGTAAAGAAAAAAGTAATTTCTATAAGTAGGAAGAATTCAAGAAAATGTTTGAAGAAAGAGGAACTGCATTTTTTCTGGTGGCGCAGCATAATTCTTGCCAGACCAAATGGCATTCAACTAGCATTTGGCGACCAATTTTTGAATTTGCCGCACATCTTACTATTTGAAACCTCAAAATTTTATGTATTTGGTATACATAATGCACGTTCAATGCCAGGTTTGGTCCCTTCTTATTAGGCTGTCTCATAAGTTTTTTTTTAAATTTTGAGTTTCTTATGCAATAACCGCACACTTCATTCCAATTAGGATGCAGGGTACCGTTCGATAGAGCAAAGCAAGCTCTATAAGATGACCTGTAAGAACATCACTTTCAATATAGTCCATTGGAGGGTCAAGCTCAACGAGATGGCATTTCAACGATGGCAAGTTCAATCCAGGCGAAGTTTAAAAGCAAAATCTCTGAACTGTCAAATACCTAAACACCAAAAATTCCGTCCAAAAAATCCTAGGAACACGCACTCATATGCGTTCCGCATCAGACATTCTCATGAACAGATGCTTAATTCTCAGCGTATTGCCTATATCAAAAATTAATTTATAGATGCTGCATACTTTCAAGGCTAGATACTGGAAGAGTCAAGAATGAATGCTCTAGCAGGAGCTACGCTGTTCCTACATATGTAAATCTATGCTACATCTTGCAAAGAAGAATAAACTTTTAGTTTTCTATAATCTCTAGTTAACAAGATTCAAAATTGGCAAAGCAAATGTTTGCATGAAAACCGAAAAAAGATGACATAGCCGTGACATAGCAAAGTAGTCCAATAGCACGACATAAATAATAGTCGTGCTACTGGACTATTTTGCTCCTACTTGTTTCTATTGTTCAAAAACCACTCTGTAGATGTTGTCATGCTTTATCAAATGATGTATTCTACTTATTATGTATTACTTTGTATTTTCTACTTTTTAATTCAACCTTGTCGCGGAAGCGTAAGGAACGTGCATAAAATTGAGGGATTCAAAATGTAGTTCAGCGCTATGAGCAATCTTTCGTCACTTATGGAAAAATCGAAATTTCGATTAAAAATATGAAACATCTTCTGGAACATATCAGTTACAAAACTTTCTCATCTTATTTGCTAGCTTTTGAGGACGTTCGGAAACATTTAGGATAGAATATCATCTCTGCTTCAAACTATGGAAGCCACGCCAGCTTGCTACATGCCACCGATGCCTGGCTTCGTGTTAAGCCCTTCCTCCCCCCCCCCCACCCCCACTGCATTGCAGCTTGAAAGCGACGCTTCGCGGTCTTCTTTGGAAAGTACCTACTGCGAAATATGTAATAATAAAATACTGATTCACGTATTCAATAAAGCTCAGGTCAGTACTTACCTTTGATTCACAAATACAAGACACCTCTTTCATTTCTCAAGCAGGCAGGTCGGCCGCAACAATGTGCCTTGCTAAATTGTGGTTCTTACACAGAATGCTTTTAAATAAGGAGCAACACGTAGAGGATCCTTTGGTTACGATATTCATTGGTGTGTTATTAGTCGGCTTTAGAAAAAAACAGATGCGTCTTGTATTTTGAAATTAAGTTGATTAACCAGGAGCAGCCGTAAAAAACGTTTCCATTTTTAAATCGATTTTCTTAACTTGATCAAGGTTAAGATGTACAACACCAATGGTGACCTTCTTCTGTTTTCTTTGTTCTCAAAGTTCGTTTCCACAGAATACATACGCTACAATGCTATTGATGGTATCGATGTGTTGAATTAGGACTGTTTTAACTCATGTCTTTGGCGGCTTCTCAGTTTTGTTTTAAGTCGGTCTTGTCTACACACATACACTGAAAAGACAGCTTATTCCTATTGTCATTCACGTGATTAATTTCAGATTCTATAAGTTGGAAGCATTACATCCTGAATATTTTTAGCTGTAGAGAAATTTCTCTTTCTCGCAGTTTTTAGTAGCTACGCAAATTCCCCTAAAAGATTTATTTCGTCTTCATCTCTAAAACGTTCATAGCAGGTTTTGCACGTCACACCGCATAAGGTGGGCACTCCTTGAGTATAAAAGAATCGCACATTTCCCATTAGGCATTTGTGCAACAGATGGTCTTGCCGGCATTTTACTCATACCTGATTTTCGACGTCTTACAAACAGTGTACTTCCTAAAAGTTCTCTGATCTTGCAAGGATAGCCTTTTTAGACATCTTCTAACATTACGACGATGTAAATAGTCTATATGGCTTATAGAGTTTTCGCTGCTTCAATAGTAACAAAGGATTCTAAGGAACAAAGTTGGTCTTCATAGTGACTCGATGTTTCTTTACTCTTGTTTCTCAGCCGTTCTATTGGCAATACAAGCAGTTTGCTTATCAGTACTTGTCACCAATCAGCATTCTCTACGGTGCTGGACACATTCTGTTATGTGCATGCGCCAGCGTACTATCATTTATAATTTTCGAATGGAGAAAAGTTCAAAGTATTAAAGAAGGCAGCGTCGAAAGCTCTACACTGTTATAAATCCACCTTTTATCAACTAATAACGCGTACAGGATAATTTTAAAAAATGCATTATAAGTCATAGCATTACAAACAGCTTCCGCAGTTCCCAAGCTCTCGTTTGTTCAGGTTAGCTGGATACCCAGCTTCGCTCGATTTTTGTCATCACAACATGATAGAAATAATTCTTTCTTCTATTTCTGCAAAACATCTCCCTGTTTCTGCTCCACTTCAATAAGCAAACTCTTTGTCTCCCCTTTAAAGGCAGCGTCCAGGGAAAACCGGACATACAGGATCTTACGTGGAAAGTAATTTTGTGACCAGAACTAAGACGTTGCTCAAGCGGCAGTCAGATAGTGGACTCACGGCTGATATATTCTCCTCCATACTGGACCCCAGAATCACATTAACGGACGACTCACCTCATATTCGCATGGCTTCAAACGACATCTCTCAGTTTCGCGTGAGTCCTTGCGCGAAAGCATGCGAGCACGATGCAAGTCGTCCGTTAATACGAATCTGGGGTCCAATTTGGAGGCGTATATCTCAGCCTTGAGTGTATCATTTGCGCTACCGCTTGCGCAGTGATCTAACTAAGGCCCCAAAATTACTTTCCACGTAAGATTCCATAGGTCCAGGTTTCCCTGAACGCAAGCTTTAACAGCATAATCACTTACCCCATCCTGTGCAACTCACAGCCCCATAGACCGAAGTTTGCATAAAAAAGATGGACTATTCTCACAAATGGCAATTGTTCGTAATCAGCATACTCACTTGTCCCCCACCCCTCTCTTGCCAAATGTCATCCCTGCAGCTGAAACATGCAAGCCTACAACACCGTTCTGCAGTGCACACGGCAAAGTTAAGTCCGAATCGTTTCGAAAGTGAAATTTTCTAATCAGAACATACATAACGCCAACTCGGTTTTATTTTCATAAACAACAAGTGAATTTCAGATGACGACTTCGATAAAGCACTTCCCGCAGGTTCGGATCTATTTTTGTCAGTCAGCGCATTTCGTTATCAGTCACTGCATTCACTGCTTTTTTTATCAATTCAGAAATTTTGAAATTAGTGGTGATCCTCTGGAACATCCCCCAGGGAATCATCGCCACTCTCTTTTTTCTATTTCACTGCGTTCAAAATCAGAGAGAGTGAAAGCCGTTTTAGATATTAAAACTTGCTGGCCTGTGCATAGAATAAACATATCAAAGCTGGCTACAAGAAACAAAATACGGTGATGAATGTGTATATATGACTGCCAGCACTGTATATTCATTTCCTCAGGATGTGAAGCACACTATATACAAAACATGAAAGGTTGACTACAAGAGAAAACTAGGTTGCTCAGCTTGGACAGAACTGAAGTGAATCAACAAAATATGACGAAAAAAATTGACACTGCATATGTGAGTATGTCAGTATTATTTCAAATCTATCATAAAATGGTGTTACCAAATCATTATATTAGGAACCACTCCCTTTTTCAGTCGCGAAGTCCGTACATAGTCTTTTTGGCAGTGATTATAAACAAGGAGATAAATTTTAACATGAACATTTTAGAGATGATGAAAGTACTTATTGCTATTCTCTACCTTGCGAGTGCTGCCTCTAGCTTCATGGTATTCAATATATTCAATATTCCGAATCCTTATATGGGTAAGCTCTTCTATCAATCATGTGAGAGCAGTCTGAAGGCGCTTTGCGAAGCGGCCTCTCTTTTAGGGACCCGTCATATTTCGCCGAAGAAAGCCCAAAAGCGCCCAGAAAAGCCCAAGAAAGCCCGAAAAAGCCCGAAAAAGCCCGAAAAAGCCCAAAAAGTGCGAAAGCGCCAGAATGCCCGCTTCACGAGCGCGACTTTCGGCACTGAAGCATTAGTTCCAGAAAAATGTTGGATACTAGAACAATTAGGTTTGAAGAATAATCAAGTGAAAGGTCCGCCTTGCGAAAACAATACACATGCCTTAGCGCCAAAACTTGCGAGCGTTCCGGCTCTTTCTGGCGCCTTTGGGCTTTTTTGGGCTTTTTTAGGCGAAGTATGACGGGTCCCTTAGAATCTGAGTAGTTACTGCGCCTTACGGCAATGGGTCCGACAAATTTTGACATGTTTGCTCAAGACGATCAAAGCAAGACTTGAAAACCCCGAAATAGAGTAGTAGTTTAGATCTTCCTCTTGACGAGGCGAGTAAGTTTGCAGAGGAAAATGGTCTCAGCGACAATGATAAAGCTCTCCTGAAGCTTCAGTGGTTCGTTAAGGGTAAGGTTTTTAGTCGCAGTATGTGTAAGTCATAGCAATCATTCAGAATTCATGTTGAGTTTGGTTGGTGATGTAAGCGAGGAGGATACGGCTGTCATAAAGGAAGTCGTAAAGGATGTTATCTCTACCGGACCTAAGAGTTTTGAAGAGGTATTTCTTCATATTTTAGTCACACAAAATATATCAATAGAGTGGAAAAATTTCTCAAATATCTTGTCTGCTCAAGCAGTATCATGCTATTGAATCATGCGGAAGATTTTTCACTTGTAAGCTCGACAAGTGCACTATCTCAGAACATGAGGCCATAGCGGTTGCTGTATACGATTTGCACAGAAACTCTTCTATCAGTGTGAATTTTATCAACCATGCACCAATCGCTCTGTAAAAAAGTTTGCACGTCCACGAAGCTGGCATGGAAAGATGCAACAAAATAGTAATATTATTTAGATAAGGCAAAATTGGCACGAAAGTTTTATGTCAGAGACACCAGCAACAGGAGCTAGAGCTTGTAAACGTCGAGAAGAAAATCTCAAATGTGTCAAGTCCAGGAGTGCACTCTCTTGACTTGAATCCTTCACCCTGATTGTCTTACTTCATATGAACATAACATTACGACTAGCATCTTTAAGAGGGGAAGGGAAACCGCCGGTCACCCGGTTAGGCACAGCTCATCTGTGGCCGTATTCATCAACGAACCCTGAGGGTTAAGCTTACCCTCCAGGGTTAGTTTAACCCTCAGGGTTCATTGGCCGTATTCATCAACCATAGGCTAGGGTTTACCACGGAACGCGATCTACCCGTATCGATCAACGTCATCAACCCTGAGGGTTAAACTAACTGGAGGGTTAAGGCGTCAGTTACGCGTGCGCTGTGCAACTCACATCACAGAATGCCTAAGTACGGGCTAAATTCACTTTATACTTCTATTCTTTCACTGTTATAGTAGTATAGTCAACGAATAAGCTTCTAACAATAGTATTTATAATACATCTCTAGCATACTTGTGTAGCATCCAATCTTACAGCGTGAGTTTATTTTCATGGTGCATTTATGCGGTGTAAGTTCTACTTTTGTGCAGTTCGTTTTATACCGGGCTTGTGCTACTTTTTTGCTACTTTTGGGGGTCAATGCGTGTTATTATAAAGGGGTTCTTCTGTTTTGGCACTTGTCAGAGTAGTATGCCATTTTTCTTCGTCGCCATTCATTTGTCACCAAAGCTAGAATTCTTTTTCTCGCGAAGTCAGTGTTTCATGTACTTCGAATATGAACATAAAACGAAGTCGAAACTAAATACTATAACAACAACCAATACTGAATACTACAATACTCGTTGATCGTTTTCCATAAACTATTAGATGCGAGTAAATGTTTGTATGAAGTGTTAGGGTAGAGTTAACCTTGCTCTGAGCCAGGGTTAAATTAACCCTGATGAATCACGTAAGTTTAACCCTCTAGGGTTAGTTTAACCCTCACGGTTCGTTGATGAATACGGGTTAGTCGCTTTCGGGGTAAAATTAACCCTCAAGGTTAAATCTAACCCTCAGGGTTAAGCCTACCCTGTGTTTCATGAATACGGGTTAAACGCTTTCCAGGGTTAAACTAACCCTCCAGGGTTAGTTTAACCCTCGGGGTTCGTTGATGAATACGGCCACTGGAGTTGCTGGGCACCGCCCAGTTGGCGTGGGGACTGTCGGACCATCTAATTAGTCTGCGTCTCGACAAATGTCATGAATTCCAAAGGTCGCCTGCAGGCAATCTTGCAGCTGAATTGTAGCTAGATTGGAAATCTGCTCAAAGATTTTGGGGATAAGCATTTGAAAGGGTCTTTTGCAGCAGATTTGCAATCCAGCTGTGAGTCAGCTGCAAGATTACCTGCAGGCGGCCTTTGTAATTTCTCATATTAGCAGTCATATCTGTCAAATATGCAATGCTGGCATCAATCTCAGACTCTTCACACCTCTCCCGCACCAATCATCATTTCTCAGTCCCCCCAAACGTTTCTCAAAATTAATAACGACGACCAACGTAATGGGGTAACGGCATTACCTAATTTCCACTGTAGAGTAATGAAGCCATTGCGCCTAAAAAACACTCATTTGTGCGTACGTGTCTGGATTGTACACCTACATTAAAGCTCGTAATTTATGAAAAAAGACCCAGGAATGACTTGCGAATCCGACAGCTGCCCCACTTTGGCGACACAGATTCACCAAGGCATTGCATAGGTACATCTCGGTTCAGAGTGGACGACTTCTGCACAAGCAAAGGTTTCAATTCAGTTCGATGAGGTTTTCTGGTATATAAAAGTGTCAAAGTTAATTGGGTATGGCTAGCATGGGTTCTTCTCATGAGTTTATTCAGTTTTTTGCCTATACGGATAACGTGTGCTGGCGACAAAAATTATATAGATCTGCTGGTGGCACAGCCGATGAGATAGGTGAACTATGTAAGGTTAACGTAATCGAATTTGCCTGACACGTTGCTTCGTATTTCGAATGCTATGTCATTAAATCGTGCTGTTAAAGTGCATTTGTTGGTACATAGAACCTATACGAATTATTTGTCGGTAGCTTGAATTTTTGTGCATGCACGATTTCGTATGGAGTAGCGCAGCGCACATTGCACATAGAGAGATTCGGTAAGTAAAATTCGAAAAAGTTGCTACACTATCCTTCACAGAAAATTATCGGAAGACTATTCTTTGAGAGCGAGAGAAGTATAGGTGAATTCTGGAGACAAGCAAAGTCCAGCAACCATTTACTTACCGCGAATCTTCAGTAGCATCCAAAAAAAAGCATTTTGGCATTACTGCTGTGATCGGCATGTATAATGCCTATTCAAATGAGTTTCGCGTTGATCTGAGGCCATATGCACGTACAATCCCGCTGGGGATGGGAAGGGATCGTGAGGGCACGGTCGATTTCGCATCTTTAGAATCTGTATTATTCTTTTTCTGTCTTGAAGCTTGAGTATCATCGTTGGCAGAACGTTACCACAGCTGAGATTTCCACTGTTTTGTGTGGTCCCCTGGAGATCCCCAGGAGCCCTTGTTTCCAAAGTCGTCTATGGGCCACATGCATCATTAGCATCCCTGCCGGGAAGTTGATCGCAGCTCAAAAGAAAGCTTCAAACCGAAACAGAAACTCTAGATGTCTGGATTTCACGCCGTATGCCTATCCGTGAATGTTCCTACTATCCTTCACTACAAACATAGTGAACTGAAGCGAGAAGCTGAGCAAGTCGTATTTTCCAGCTTTTTGTATGAACAGAATTGCTAGTAAACAAAACTTAACCTAATATCTTCCGTAACCCTGCAATAATAGAATCAGGGCCCGGCACGCGTTGGTTTGGAGCATTTTTGGAAACAAAGTCCCCCATGACTTCGCGAAAATTTACGAAGTCCCGCTTGACGTAAGAATCAGTAGGGAAATCCTTATTCAATCAAAAAAACTATAAAAAAGCTAAAAAAGCGCATTTTGAGGTACCTAATATGACAAAAAAGCAGAAAGAAAACATTTCGAGTTTAAAGGCTCTGTCATTGAGTAGGGTACCATTTTAGTGCTCAGAATGTCGAGACCTCCTGAGCTAACCAAATCTGTGGCCTTAACAATCTGGCGATGCATTTTTCGACACATAATTCAAAGGACACCGCGAGTGATTGAAGCGCAATATCTATCAACGCATAGATTCACACTACTTTTGGCTCAAAAAAGAGGAGAGGCAATGGTTTTATTTGCTCATTTCACTTCATGATAGAATTTTGACCATTCTAATCGTCCAAGTCAAAAAGAGCCAGAACTTATGTGAACTCTTCGATATTTATGCTCCGAACCAATCCAGTTAGTTTGGTGTTAGTCTAGAAACCAACAAATTACAATTACACAGAAACCAACAACAACCAACAAAAACAAACAAAACCAACAAACGAACGGATATCAGAACACATGAGTGTTGGGAACTTTCTACATAACAAAGTTTGGAGTAAAATTGTATACACATAGCTCAAATTCGGAGCCATATGATTGTTTGTGCGCTGTAAACAAGCCATTTGTTTGTTTTAGTCTTGCGTTTGAAATTCGCGCGCTTACGAAAGAACAGTTCAACTCGTGAAACCTAACATGTTCGTCGTTTTTTTTTCGGCGCTTCCTTCAGAACCTTATAGAAACGATATCCCTCTTGCTTCTAACTTCAAAAACGAAGTCCAGTTTGACCTCAGACCATCTGTGCCGGGCCCTGAATAGAATTTATTGCAGATAAGACCCCATTTTGCAATCAGCGTGTTGGATAAGCTTTATTGGCCACATATCTCAAGGATTTCATAAAAATCGTTCTCGCTTGTCATTTTTGAGCTCAGGTCGGCTAAAATATTGACAGCCTTAGATTCCAGAGCCCGCCGCTCAAAAACCTGTCCATGAACGTGTACTAAAGGTTGCCTGTTTCAGCTACATCTCATTTACTAAGTCTGCTCTTACAGTACGTTCCTAGTAGGATGAAGCTATACCATGCAAGTTCTCAAAATCGCCTGCATTTGTCGCCCAAACGCTAAACTATGCGATAGATTTATCAAACCGTGTTCAGCTCACTTTTTTAGAGTTGTAATGATGTGACCTTACAAAGTCACGTCCCGCAATTCTGTATCAAGTTTGAAGAATTTTGCCAGGAGCGGGTGTATGATCAAATCACAGAATTTACGTCCTGCGTAACACGGTTTCACTGTAGTGGTGGGTATTAGCACGAGACCACTTCATCAAAGCTTTGAGATTATCTCATACAATAGTTCTCTATAATTATGAAGTAGAGTTTAGTAAGTACTAGCTGGCTTACCCGGCTCCGCCGTATCCGGACCAAACTTGGCACACATACACTTCGGGCCCCGGCGGGTGTCACAGTCCACTTTTCGTTATCAATCGATGTCGATTTTACCGATTTTTATCGATTTTTTCACAGAGTTCACCTACAGAGCTAGGAATTGGCACAGGGGGGAAGTGAGCATGGGGATTCCGAATACAATATTAGTTTTCAGAATTATCGATTACTTTTATTGATTTTATCGATTTTTTGTAAATTTTGACATGCGAGGCTGGGATTTTGCACAGGGGGTAATCGAGCATGCTGATTACGAACATAATATTAGTTTTCAGGATCGTCCA